TTTTTTTTTTTTTTTTTTTTTTGGCTAGGGCCACGTGTTTCGGACCGCGCACATCAATTCCGTTTTTCCGAAAAGCGAGGGAGCGGCCTATTTTTGTATTTAACGGGAATTCAATGGGATTTTTTCAAATTGAACGGGATTCAATGAGAGTTTAATTCCAACGTTCCCCGTTAAAAAGACACACAGTCCAGACGTGTTGACTTCTTTGGAACAATTGTCTCCTATCTCGATATAGAGAATGCTTTGAAAGAACAAATTCGTAAGACTTTATGTCGATGATTCGATATGGAGTCCTATTATTGGGACCGTACAAAGAAACCCGGAACTATTCCGTGAATATCGAATGATTGATAACTTCCTTTTCTTTATTGATAGAATCGAAGAAAGACTATGTATTCCCCATAAAGAACCAATCAAGAGTATTGTCATTGGATAATGTCATGATACTGAAGGACATTTCGGTTTCAAGAAGACGTATGCAAATATTAGAGAACGCTTTGAATGGAAAGGAATGAAGGAGGATGTACTAACTTATGTGCGGGCGTGTCTTGTTTGCCAGAGGAATAAGCCCTCGCATCAGAATCCAATCAGACTACTGAGACCACCGCCTATCCCAAGTGAGTCAGGTGAGTCTATCGCAATCGACTTCATGAGGCTCACCAAGAGCTGAAACTGCAACAGTCAGGTAATGGTCATTGTGAATCGATTCTCAAAATATGCTATGTTCATTCCTTTGCCAGTAGAAGCTAAAACGAAACTTGTCGTTTAAAAAATCCAGGTGCGATGAGTTTTAGAATATGGATTTTCAAAAACCATCATCTCCGATAGGGATGTACAGTCCACTGGTCTACAATGGCAAGAGTTGATGGAAACATGTGACACTAGATTGACCATGTCGTCAGGTAGATACCCTGAAATGAATGTCCAAACTGAACAAATGAATCATTTGTATCAAATTGCCAATAACTTTTGCGCATGTACGTACAACCCGATCAGATAGATTGGGATGAAATTTTACCTAAGATTGCGAGTGCATATAATAATAGTATACATAATTTATAGAACAAGTGGACTCGCCACGACGACGCCGCGACAGAGGAACAGGGTCGGGGCACAGAAGGGGACGCGGGGCGAAAGGGAAAAGAAGCAGGCAGCAAGCAGCGAAGGGTGAAAAATGATTTTCTGCCAGTGTTTCACATATGATGCGATAATGACAACCTTGCATATCCTTCCCATTTCTGTCTCTCTCTCTCTCTCTCTCTCTCTCTCTCTCTCTCTCTCTCTCTCTCTCTCTCTCTCTCTCT